AAAAATAAATAAAGGCATTGTGTCCATCCACAACTAAAAAAAATGTTTTTAAAAAAAGACAGTGGTGAGATGTTAATATATTAGAAGACCTAAATCAAAATTAGTGACAATTCCAAATGATGGTAGAAACATAAAGAAACTGGATTTCTCGTATATTGCCGATAGGAATGTAAAGTGAAATATGCACCAGGTGTGGTGGCACATGCCTGTAAATCCTAGTGACTCAGGAGGCTGAGGCAGGAGGATCTCAAGTTTGAAGCCAGCCTTAGCAACTCAGTGAGACCCTGTCTCAAAAAATAAAAAGGACTGGGGCTGTAGCTTGGGGGTAAAGCCTCTCTGAGATCAGTCTCACTATTAAAAAAGAAAAACAGGGCTGGGGATATGGCTCAGTTGGTAGAGTGCTTGCCTCACATGCACAAGGCCCTGGGTTCAATCCCCAGCAACACACACACACACACTCAAAAAAAAAAAAAAAAAAAAAAGAAGCTGCATTTTTCCAACCACTGGTTACATTCCTGGGCTTACATCCTAGAGGAATGAAAGCTTATATCTGCAGAAAAGCCTACATACACACAGTTATCCATGGAAGCTTTATTTGGGGTTTTTATTTATTCATATATGACAGCAGAATGCATTATAATTCTTACTACACACATAGAGCACGATTTTTCATATCTCTGGTTGTATAAAAAGTATATTCACAGGAATTCATGTATTCATACATGTACTTTGGAAAATAATGACCATCACATTCCACCATCGTTTATAACCCCCTGCCCCCTCCCTTCCCCTGCAACCCTCTGCCCTATCTAGAGTTTACTGATTCCTCCCATACTCCTGCTCCCTATCCCATTATGAATCAGATTTCTTATATCAAAGACAACATTTGGCCTTTGGTTTTTTGGAATTGGCTAACTTCATTTGGCATTATCTTCTCTAACTCCATCCATTTACCTGCAAATGCCATGATTTTATTCTCCCCTTTTATTGCTGAGTAATATTCCATTGTATATATATGCCACACTTTTTTTATCCATTCATCTATTGAAGGGCATCTAGGTTGGTTCCACAGTTTAGCTATTGTGAATTGTGCTGCTATAAACATTGATATGGCTATGTCCCTATAGTATGCTGTTTTTAAGTCCTTTGGGTATATACCGAGGAGAGGAATAGCTGGGTCAAATGGTGGTTCCATTCCCAGTTTTCCAAGAAATCTCAATACTGCTTTCCATATTGGCTGCACCAATTTGCAGTCCCACCAGCAGTGTATGAGTGTGCCTTTCTCCCACATCCTTGCCAACACTTATTGTTTGTATTCTTGAAAGCTGCCATTCTGACAGGAGTGAGATGAAATCTTACAGTAGTTTTGATTTGCATTTCTCTAATTGCTAGTGATGATGAACATTTTTTCATATATTTGTTGATTTATTGTACATCATCTTCTGAGAAGTGTCTATTGATTGGGTTATTTGTTGTTGTTGTTTTTTTTTTTTTTGGTGCTTAGCTTTTTGAGTTCTTTATATACCCTAGAGATTAGTGCTCTATCTGTGTGTGAGGGGTAAAGATTTATTCCCATAATGTAGGCTCTTTACCTCACGGATTGTTTCTTTTGCTGAAAAGAAACTTTTTAGTTTGAATTGATCCCATTTATTGATTCTTGATTTTAATTCTTGTGCCAGAGGAGTCTTATTAAGGAAGTTGGGGCCTAATCCCACATGATGGAGATTAGGGTCTACTTTTTCTTCTATTAGAAGCAGGGTCTCTGGTTTCATTCCTAAGTCTTTGATCCATTTTGAATTTGTTTGTTTATTTTTGTGCATGGTGAGAGATAGATGTTTAATTTCATTTTGTTGCATATGGATTTCCCATTTTCCCAGCACCATTTGGTGAAGATGCTATCTTTTTCTCAAATGCATGTTTTTGGCACCTTTGACTCATATAAGATAATTGTAATTTTGTGGGTTAGTCTCTGTGTCCTCTCTTATGTACCATTGGTCTACAAGTCTGTTTTGGTGCCAATACCATGCTGTTTTTGTTACAATTGCTCTGTAGCATAGTTTAAGTTCTGGTATAGTGATGCCTCCTGCTTCACTCTTCCTGCTAAGAATTGCTTTAGCTATTCTGGGTCTCTTATTTTTCCAGATGAATTTTATGACTGCTTTTTCTATTTCTATGAGGAATGTCATTGGGATTTTGATCAGAATTGCGTTAAATCTGTATAGTGCTTTTGGAAATATGGTCATTTTGATAATATTAATTCTGCCTATCCAAGAGCAAGGTAGATCTTTCCATTTTCTAAGGTCTTCTTTGATTTCTTTCTTTAGGGTTCTGTAGTTTTCATTATATAGATCTTTCATTAAGTTAATTCCCAAGTATTTTTTTTTTTGAGGCTATTTTAAATGGGGTAGTTTTCCTCATTTTCCTTTCTGAGGATTTGTCACTGATATACAGAAATGCCTTTGATTTATGGGTGTTGATTTTATATCCTGCTACTTTGCTGAATTCATTTACTAGTTCTAGAAGTTTTCTGGTGGAACTTTTAGGGTCTTCTAGGAATAGAATCATATTGTCAGCAAATAGTGCTAATTTAAGTTCATCTTTTCCTATACATATCTCTTTAATTTCTTTCATCTGTCTAATTGCTCTGGCCAGTGTTTCAATAACCATGTTAAATAGAAGTGGTGATAGAGGCCATCCCTGTCTTATTCCAGTTTTTAGAGGAATGCTTTCAATTTTTTCTTCATTTAGGTTGATGTTGGCCTGAGACTTGACATAGATAGCCTTTATGATGTTGAGATATGTTCCTGTTGTCCCTAGTTTTTCTAGTTGTTTTGAACATAAAGGGGTGCTATATTTTGTCAAATGTTTTTTCTGCATCTACTGAGATGATCATATGATTCTTATCTTTAAGTCTATTGATGTGATGAATTACATTTATTGATTTCTGTACGTTGAACCAAGCTTGCATCCCTGGGATGAATTCCACCTGATTGTGGTGCACAATATTTTTGATATGTTTTTGTATTCAATTTGCCAGAATATTATTGAGAATTTTTGCATCTATGTTCACTAGAGATATTGGTCTGAAGTTTTCTTTTTTTGATGTGTCTTTGCCTGGTTTTGGAATCAGAGTGATACTGGCCTCACAGGATGAGTTTGGAAGTGCATAGCAGGTTTATTTGTAATAGCCCCAATCTAAAAGCAGATAAATGTGTTGAGTTGTTGAATGGCTAAACAAACCGATTTATCCATACCATGGAATACTACTCAGTAAATGTAAAGGAATGAACTACCGCTACACAGAACTTGGGTAGATCTCGGGGCATTATACTGATTGAAAAAGGGTCCATTTCAAAAGGTCACATACAGTAAGATTCCATTTATACAATCTCAAAATAGTTATAGAGATGGAAAACAGATTAGTGTTTGCCAGGGGTTTGGATGGGGAAGTGGGTGACAGTGGGCCCCATGAGGCCCAGCGTTGTGGTGACAGGATGGTTCTGACCAGATAATCTGTGGGCCACAGGTGGCTATCACACAGATGTGTTCATGTGATAAAATGACACAGAGCTAAGCAGGCACATTAGACGGATACCAATTTCCTAGTTCTATGGGGCACTAGCACTGTGTGAGATGTAACCATTGAGAGACCTGGTGAGGAGCACAGGAGGCCTCTCATTATTTTGAAATAGTTCTTAATTATAAATAACTTGGAATTATTTAAGAATAAGAAGTGTATTACATATGATTATGTGATGGAGAAAAATGAAGACGGAGGGTGAGGGAAGGCAGGATGGGGGTGGTCAGTTCATCTCCTTGAGAAGGTGACATTTAAGCAGAGTCTTGAAGGAGGGAGGAGCATGAGTTCTGAGTGGCTAGGGGAAAGCTTTCTAAGCAGAGGGAAGAGTGTCTGCAAATACCCTCAGAAAGGTGTGTGCCTGGCACATCCGAGGAATAGCCAAGAGGCCATTATGGTGGGAACTGCGGGAGCAAAGCAGAAAACGGAAGGTGAAATCAAAGAAATAACGGGGAGAGAAGAGCAGATCGCATGGGACTGCATGTCACTGTGAGGGCTTTAGCTTTTGCCCTGAATGAATGGGGGCTTTTTTTTTTTTTTTTGGCACCAGGATTAAATCCAGGAGTGCTTAGCCACTGAGCCACACCCCCAGCCCTTTTTTTTACATTTTATTTAGAGACAGGGTATCACTGAGTTGCTTAGGGCCTCTCTAAGTTGCTGAGGGATCCTCCTGCCTCAGCCTCCCAAACCACTGGGATTATAGGCATGCACCAGAGTGCCCAGTGAAATAGGGACTCTTGAGGAGAGAAGAGACGTGTGTAACATGCCTGCTGCTCTGAAAACAGATGCAGGGGTGCAGGGATGGAAGTAGGGAGAGGAAAAGCTATTGCAGAAATCCAGTGACAGAGGATGGGGGCTTGGGAGGGGGTGGTAGAAGTGGGGGGTGGTAAGTGGCTTGATTTTTGACAGATTCTGATGGTAGATTCCACAGGATTTTCTGAAGGATTGGAAAAGGTGTGTGAGAGAGAAAGGAGTCAAGGGTTGATCTGCTGGAAAACGCAGCCAGGTGTTGACTCAGAGAGGTCTGCTAGTCATGCAGGGAGAAAAGGGAAATTGGCAGCTGGATGTGTGTCTGGACCTCAGGTGAAAGGTCTGAGCTGGAGGTGTGACCTTGACCTAAGTCACTGGCTGCACTGAATACTGAGCCTGGATGATCTCACTAAGCGCGGGACAGAGCTAGAAGAGAGGAGATGGAGCAGAACTAGGAACGAAGAGTGAAATAAAGCCAGATGAAGAGAGAGTTCCAAGGAGGCAACAGTGTTCAACTAAGTCAACTGAAGTTTGGGGTTGAAGTGGGAGAGAGAATCGACTATTTGGTTTGGCGCAGGGGTCCTGGTTGGGAGCAGTGATAAATGAAGTCGAGCTGGGGTGGCGGTGGGAGGCACCAGGTATAAGCAGATCCATTTCTTCCCTCCCATTTCAGGAACACTCCATCAAAGTGCTAGAACTGGTCTCCACCATCTGGGACTCGGAGCTTCACATTTCTGGCCTCAGACTCCTCAACAACCTTCCGCTGCCTGACTATGTGCATCCCCAGCTGCGGCGGGTGATGCCTGCCCTGATGGAAATCCTGCAGTCAGACTGTAACATGGCACAGGTGCCTGCGGATCATGACTGAGGCCCTGCCCTCTTGACCAGCACCTAGAGGGAAGAGCAGAGCTTTAGGTCTTCACTCCCGAGGCCCAGACTCATCCTCCTTCTCGTGCTTTACTCTTTTCTTTATTCAGGTACAAGCCCTGCGACTGATGAGCTACCTGGCACAGAAGAATGACCTTCTCTATGACATTCTCAACTGCCAGGTGAGAAAAGCAACTGAAGAGGGAGGGGCTGATGGATGCCAGCTTAGGTAGAAGGGAGGGAACAATTACACTCTCCAGACAAACAGCCCTGATGAATTGTCTTGTCCCTCTTCCTGCCTCTGCACCAGAGGCACTAAAAACTTGCTCCTTTTGTGTTCCCCCAATAGAATGAGAATCCATCCTATTGAGAAGGGTGTTCTCCTTTGAGGGGTTTTCTTTTCTTTTCTCTTTTTGGAACTGAGGATCAAACCTAGGGCTTTGCAAATGCGAGACAAATGCTTTGTCACTGAGCTACATCCCAGCCCCTTTGAGGGGTTTTCTAAACTCTGTGAGGAACACAGAAAACAAAAATTAATGTAGATATCTTAATATCTACATTAATTATTTATGGAAAAAAGCATCATTAAGGATAGAAAGGGGTTACTACATAATAATCAGTGGTTCAGTTCACCAGAAGGATGAAGTAATTCTAAACTTGTATGCACCTAATAACATAATCTCAAAATATATATGGCAAAACTAGATGGAATTCCAAGGAGAAGTTAATAAGTCTACCATCACAGTGAGAGATTTGGAAGATTTTAACAACTCTATCAGTAATCAGTAGATAAAAAACTAAATCAAGGGGCTGGGATTGTGGCTCAGAGAGAGAGCACTCGCCTAGCATGCGTGAGGCACTGGGTTTGATCCTCATCCCCACATAAAAATAAAATAAAGATTAAAAAAAAACTAAAGCAAGTAAAGATATACTTATGTAAATAACACAAATAAGTTTAAGCCATTAGACACACCTAGAACTCTACAGTTATTAACTCTACACTCCTCTCAAGCATACAAAAATATTTAGGAAAATTAACCACATACTAAGCCTTAAAATTTTTCTGAACAAATTTCCTAGAATCCATATTATGATCATATCATTCATGTTTTAGGACCACAATATAGTTAAATTAGAAGATGATAATTAAGAAAAACTAAAAAATTCTTTTACAGTTGAGTCTAGGTATATTGGAGGGTTGAGATGATAGGAGGATGGAAGAATAAGAATTTTAGAATTTGCCTGAGATTTCACTCATCCTCTCTCCATTCCCATGTCACAGGTGCACTCCGACTTCCTGAACCTGTTCCAGTCCACACAGCCAGGAAATCTGCTGTTTGAGGTACTGGTGTTCGCTGAGCGGCTGAGTGAGGGCCGGAATGCATCCCACTACCGAGCTGTGAAATGGCATTACAATGAACAGTCCCTGCATGAAGCCCTCTTTGGGGACGAGTCACGACTGGCAGACCGGCTGCTTTCCCTGGTCATCCACCCTGAGGAAGAGGTTCAGATCCAGGCCTGTAAGGTCATAGTCAGCCTGCAGTGTCCCCAGGACGTGGCAGCCCGGCCCTCCTCCTTCCATCCCAGTCATTCTTTCTCTAAAAGTGGGGAATAAAGTTAAGGAGAATCAATAAATGAGTATGGGAGAGAAGCTTGGGGGCTTCTTGGAGCTTGATTTTCTGTCTGTGGACTTCCAGGGCTGGGTGGAGATTTCACTCAGTGTGACCTCTGCTCCAGAGGATGGTACGACATGGGCAAATCTCTCCAAACACAGCTCCGCCATGTTTAGGAGACTGACTCTTGCTGCTTTTCAAATCTGAATATGGAGCCAAGTACTTTCAGGAAGTTGGGAGAAGGTGGGTGCTATGATTTGGGTTCATATGTTGGAGTTGGATCCAGATTGATGGTATTGGGAGATGGTGTGGACCTTAAAGACATAGGATCTCATGGGAGGTTCTCAGGTCATTGAAGGTGTGCCCTCAGAAGGGGTTGGAGGACCCCAGTCTCTGTCTTCTTGTTTGACAATGTGATACTTCCTTACACATGCGCTTCCGCCATGATGTGACCCCCATCTGTTGTTAGATCCTCCTCAGAGGCTGAATCAGGGGGACCTGACTTGATTTTGGGCTTCGAACCTCTAAAACTGTGAGCTAATAAATCTCTTTTCTTCATAATGGCTACCTTCAGGTATTTTATTTTGATAATGAAAATCTGACTAATACAGCAGGCTGCCGGGCTAAGACCAAAGATAATCAACAGGAGACAATCTATGGAGCTCTAAATTGGTCAAGATGGGTGAGGCTACGCCACAATAACAACCTCCAAATGTTTTTTATTCATCACAGGCCAGCTGGGGATAGAAGGGCAGGGATCTGCTCCACATCACCATTACTTAGGAATACAGGCTGAGGGAGATTCCTTTGTGTACTTCTACAAATGTTAAAGAAGGAAAAAGGAGTGTAGTGGTATTGGGAGATGGTGTGGACCTTAAAGACATAGGATCTCATGGGAGAAATTCCACTAGAAATGATGCTTAGGACTTCTGCTCATCTGATTGGCCAAAGTGGGCAGGGAAGATCAATCTTACCACATGCCCAAGAAAGAACTGAAAATATTTGGTGACAACATTAATAACAATGAACCTCAGGCATACTGGGTAAATGTGAGTTCTGGAATCAGACTGCTAGGTTTCCATTCGACCCTGTCCCTTACTGTGTGACCTTGGATGGGCTGTTAACCCTATTTGAACCTCACTCCCTCATCGATAAAATGAACAGGAGAACAGTGCCTATCTCATGAGGCTGTCGGGAGGAGATTATGTGAGTTACTGTAAGGCACAGTATTCTGCACACAAGTCCCAGAGACTGACTCTGAGGAGCTATGACATCATCACTGAGAAAATGAAAGATTAGCCCTGAAGCATCCTGGGTAGGTTGAGTTTCTCTCATCTCTCCAGGTTACAGGCACTGGTGGGCAAGGGGATGGGTCTCTTAGAGCTCTTCAGGAACATCCTGAAATGCCCCTGGAACTTTGCCTTGTGAACCAGAGCAGCAGTGTGAATAGTATAAAAACCATCACCAGGAAGCCTCCAGAAACAAGATGGTCCAACCAAGTGTCCTCACCCGTCTTCAGGTCTCCCCGTTTGTTTGTGTTTCCCACGTCTTCATTCACAGAGTTATCTGTGAGTCCTTGCTGGGTTGCTACTGTTTAAGAAACTGTTACAGGAAAAAAACCTAGAATTGAAGCTCTTCGCTGTTTGTTATTACTCAATTTAGGAAGCAGAACATGGAATCCCCCGATGTTCTGCAGAAGCAGGACTTAAAAACTACAACCTAGTCCAGGACCAACCATGGCATTTTACTGAGAGGAAAACAAATGCAAAGAGAGAGAGAGAGAGAGTGACTTGCTCTAGGTCACGTACAGGTCTGGGGCAGAAATAAGGAATGGAACCTTCTATGGGCTTCTTGCCTTCCATATTCTTTGACCTGAACCCCATGAGAGTGGATCATGGATTCTAAACCAGGAGAAGGGGGGACCTTGATATCTCTGATTTTTAGGGGTCAGTTTAAGATTGAACTATGTAAGGAAATTTGTCTCCCCTTAACCCCTGACCCAGGCCCACATCCCCTGGGTGGGCGGGCTGAGGTGAGGGAGATGGTGGTGGTTGATGAGAACGGCTGGTCGGAGAGCCAATTCCTGCAGAAGAGCCAGCCTCGTCACCATCTCCCAAAGTTTGACTTGTCCTGAGTGGAAAGTCACTAAGATCAGAATCAGCATCCCCGCGAGTTCAGGCCTGAGGCTGCAACTTCCTGCTACTAAGACACACTGTGGCCACCCCCGTGGAACTTGTCAAAACCAGCTTCATCCTAGCCACCCCTCAGCCAGCTCCCTATGTGCCCGTGTCATCAGTGAGCAATTGGGCATCATCTGCAAATTCTGCTCCCCATCTCAGCCACCCAGTTTGCTCACATCCACGCTACTGCCCTGTCCCCCACAATGGACTCTCCTACTTCTGGTCTCTGTTCTCTCCAGCCCTCATCCTCCAGGCTGACCCTAGAATCCCATGTCTCATCCATCCTCCAAAACCTTCAGGGGCTGTTAATAGGCAGTGAATCTTTCCTTAGCTTTAATATAATGTCACTTGATCTGACGGACATGTACTCTTTTGGGCTGCAGGTACAACTCAGTGGTAAGTGTTTGGCTAGCATGCATGAGGCCCTGGGTTGGACCCCTTTTTTATATGATAGAGTCAAATGAATTAGCTTTGCAGTTAAGGCCCTTCATGATCTGGTCCTTTTTTCCCACCCTGTACTGGGGATTGAGCCCAGGGGTACTTTAGCACTGAGCTACAGCCCCTGTCCTTTAATTTTTTTTAAATATTTATTTTGAGACAAGGCGTCCTTAAGTTGCCCAGGTTGGCCTTGAATTTACAATCCTCCTGCCTCAGCCTCCTGAATGGCTGGGATTACAGGTGTGTGACACTGTGCCCAGCCAATCTGATCCTCTTGCCTGCCCCAGACTTCTATGTCCAATCTCTGTTCCAGCTAAACTGGAATGAACTAGTCATTGCTCTGCTACTTGTACCATATGTAGTCTTGCCTCCAAACTTCCAATGCAGCCTTTCCCCTGCCTCAAGTGACCTCCCCTCTCCTTTCCACTGGGCAGTGTCTTCTGGTTTCATCAGTTGAACCACATCCTCCTGTGCCTAGATCCTTCTTCCATTACACCAGCCTTTGGTGCTTCCTGCAGTTCTTTTCATCTCATCTCATTTGACATTTGCCAAATTAAAACTTGGACCTTATAAACCATGCTTTTTTCTTTCTTTCTTTCTTTTTTTTGTGACAGAGCATATGTGACTTCTTATTGAAGTCTCAAAGGAAGGGCCTGCAGTCACAACAAGATAGTAAAACAGGTTACACAAGTGTATATGGTAGTGCTGCCGCCTGGGCTGTGGACATGAGGCACATACCATATATGGTGTGTAATGCTTGATAATGATAATAAACAACTACTTATTGTTATGTATTAACTATACTATTTTCTTTTGTACTAGAAATTAAGCCCAGGGGCACTTTACCACTGAGTCACATCCCCAGATATTTTTTATATTTTAGAGACAGGGTCTCACTAAGTTGCTTAGGGCCTCACTAAGTTGCTGAGGCTGGCTTTGAACTTTCCATCCTCCTGCTTCAGCCTCCCCAAGCCACTGAGATTACAGGTGTACACCACCCCCCACAGCTTATACTATGGTTTTTATCGTTATTTTAAAGTGTACTCCTTCCAAAGTTAACTATAGAACAGCCTTGGCAGGTCCTTCAGGAGGGATTCCGGAGGCCTTGTTATCAGAGTTATGTCAGCTCCATGCACATCATTGCCCTGAAGGCCTTCCAGTGGGACAAGATGTGGGGATGGAACAGTGATCCTGGTAATCCTGACCCTGTGTGGGCCTAAGCCAACGTCTGGGTTTGAGACTGTTTTTAACAAAAAATGTTAAAAAAGAAAATTTAATTATAAAACATAGAAAAGTTGAAAGAATAAGGATATAAAAAGTAAAATATTTTTATAGCTATACAATGTCTTTGTTTTATGCTAAAAGTTATTATAAAGGTAAAAAAAATTAAAAATATAAACATTTGTAAAGTAAAAAATTTTAGTCAGCTAAGGTGAATTAATTATTGAAGAAAGAAAAAGATACTTTATAAATGTAGTGTAGCCTATGGGTACCAAATCTTTTTGAAGTATATTTTTAAGTTGTTGATGGACCTTGTAATTTATTTGTTTGTTTGTTTATATGCAGTGCTGAGATTTGAACCCAGTGCCTCACACATGCTAGCTAGGCCAAGTACTCTACCACTGAGCCACACCGCTAGCCCCATGTGTACCATATTTATAAAGTCTCTGGTAGTGGGCAGTCATGCCCTAGGCCTGTGCATTCACTCACTGACTCACCCCAAGAAATTTCTAAACCTGCACACTCCATTCCTGGTAAGTGCTTGATTTAGTCAGCTTTTTCATTGCTGTGACTAAAGGACCCAACCAGAACAACTGTAGAGGAGGAAAAGTTTGTTTTTCTATCTTGTTGTGACTGCAGGCCCTTCCTTTGAGACTTCAATAAGCAGTCACATATGCCCTGCCACAAAAAAAAAAAAAAAAAAAAAAAAAAAAAGGGAGCATGGTTTATAAGATCCAAGCTTTAATTTGTCAGATGTCAAATGAATTATGAATTGAGATGAAAAGAACTGCAGGAAGCACCAAAGGCTGGTGTAATGGAAGAAGGATCTAGGCACAGGAGGACGGGTTCAACTGATGAAACCAGAAGACACTGTCCAGTGGAAAGGAGAGGGGAGGTCACTTGAGGCAGGGGAAAGGCTGCATTGGAAGTTTGGAGGCAAGACTACATATGGTACAAGTAGCAGAGCAATGACTAGTTCATTCCAGTTTAGCTGGAGCAGAGATTGGACATAGATGGCTGGGGCAGGCAAGAGGGGTGGTGATATACACCTGTAATCTAGTGGCTTGGGAGGCGGAGACAGGAGGATCAAAAGTTCAAAGCCAGCCTCAGCAACTCAGTGAGGCCCTAAATAACTCATGGTTTCAGGGTCTTAGTCCTTGCAATCTTCCTGCCTCAGCCTTCTAAGTCTCTGGTATTATAGGCATGCACCCCATTTCTCTGCATTTTAAGGGTGCCACCAAATACACATGTAAAGAGAATGAGAAAGGCGTTCACTGAATTCATGGTTGGTGGTTAGAAGATAAAGAGGACTATTGAGTCAGAAGGAGAAAGGCCACAGGCTGGACCAGGAGGACTTGGTAGGTACTGACAATGCAGTACATGGCCTAGTTCTCCCATGACACAGATCACACCTGGGCTTCCAGATGTGGCTTGGTTTTGCTGATCATCTTCACTGCCTAAGACCTAATCTGAATGGACTTATGGGAGGGCAGAAATATTTGTGGGAGATTTACTTTTTTATTGGCCAGGGATACCAGAGAGAGCAGACACAAGCAATCATTTTGGTGGCAGCTTCCAGATCCCAAGATCACAGCCCAGGTTTATGTTCCTGGAACCAATGGGTACAGTGACAGCTCCTGACTCCACGCCTTCCTGATGGTAGCAGAGATGGTGGCTCCCCTGGCAGCCAGTTTCGGAAGTCATTCCTGGAGGAGTCTGGAT